AGTATCCGAGCTTGCAGCGACTCCTCAAATGCTGGCTCTTTGGTAATGGTAAGCATGGCGGCAATGACTTCCTTCCAGCTCTCCCTATCGTCTTGTTTGTTCCAGTATGTCATGGCGCTTCGTTCGTGCCGAGAATTCGTATCGCATAACACGCAGCTAAGCGAATGCACTGGCTGCGACGTAGACTGAGATAGTTCTAGACACCGGGAACCGGCGCACGCAATCTTCGCAAACGCTGTCATGAGGTCCACTTGTACACGTTCATTTTGTTGATCGTCGTCCATCATAGAAGAGTATCTTGCCCTGTATCTGTCAGCATTGTACATCTAGGTCAACTTAGACAACTTACTCGATGATATTGTGGAGATTGGTTAGGTTGAGAACCGGGGAGTCATGGGTACTGCCATTCAGTATCATCACGAGTCGCTCATAGGTGGCATGATTGATGTCGGGAGTATCCAGGAGCTTCTTTCGCCGCTTCGCAGGCCTTTCCTCATTGCCCAAGTTCAACATCCGGAAACTTTTCAGGATTGGTGTCGATTCTTCGGAAAGTTGAGCATCCGAGAAACTGCCAGTGTCACCCTCGCAGAGTTCTCTTCGTATGTCCGCAATGTGTATAGGCCATATACCTGGTGCCGTCCAGAGGCAGAGGGCGAGCTAGATTCGATCAGAATAAACAATAACTGCGGTGTTTCACTCATACCTGCAAGTCTTTGTGAAGCTGAGAGAAGTGTTGAGCATCCTGACAGGCTCTAGCCACGATAGCCTCAACGTCGTTCAGAACGACCGATCTGCTCATGTTCTGTCGACGCCGTGGGGTTGGATCGTTCGTTGATGGTGAAGTAAGAACACTGCGTAACCGGGTAAAAATGATAGCCAGTCGCACTTGGATGACTTCTGACGCTAACTCTGGCGCTGACGATAAACCATCAACGAGATCGCTGAGACTGTTGATAAGCGACTGTGCATTCTTCAGTGATTCCAAGGAACGGTCTCCGGGGGCGCCTGCAGGCAGGAACAGAGTTTCGAGTAGCTGCAAATATGCGAGCGTGATTTCATTGACGAGGATGCCACTGTCCGAAGTTGCCATCCAACGCCGAAAATGCTTCCATAAATCTTGAGCACTGTCGATGATCCATGGTACATGGTGATCTAGGGAACTAGGCGTCGCCGGCACTCTACCTTGGGGTGGAGCAACACGTGCCAGGATGGTGAGAAGACAAAAGCCGGCATGGATGGCTCCGAGTCGTGAAGTAACTGCTCGCTGCAGATCATGTGGCAAAGCAATAATTTGTTGGCTGTCTGGCCAAAAGTCGCTGATGCTGCTTGACGATGGTAGGAGTAGGTTGAAAGACAGTACGGCTGCCGAAGCTGGATCATCCATGGACCGCAGCTCTGTCAAGATAGCTAGATAGACGTGAGTACTCGTATAAGGGAACTCAGGGTAGTACTTACTTTGCGCACATGATCTGTAAAGCTGTGAGACTGCTGCAGCGGGACGCCAGAGGGCAGATGTTCGTGCGAGCGCGCTAAGGCATAGATGCAGTATTTGGTGTGCATGTTCGTGCACATAGGTGAGTGCTTCATGTGCTACCAGGCCCAATAACTTAGGAACCAACCAGAGAATAAGCGGAGGACGAGAGATGCTGTCATCTTCGGTCTCTCTAACGCTCAACAGCAGATGTGGCTTTTGTTGCAAGATGAAAGTGAGCGCGGCAATACTGTCAATACCCTGCTGTCTCTGCTGGTCCTGGGCGAACGGATCATCTTTGAACAACCCTTCAAGTCCTGCTTCGGCGATGACACTTATGAGCGCTACGAGCTGTGCATCGGGCTCGTCCGTGTTTGGGTGTTGGAGGAACTCTTTGACCAGCTCTCCAAAGCTGACTTTGGTTGCCTCGCCCTGCCACGCATGAACATTTGACGCATTATTGACGATTTGGGCCGCAATGGTCGACGGTGGGGGCACGCCATTCGAGTTGCCGTTAGTCACAGGTGGCGGTGCCATCCGCTGAGTCGAGCTCCCGCCTTTGCGGGCCATGATGCACGTTACCGATGTGGCATGTCGGATAGGTAAGGAAAGAGTGGGATCCTGGCAACTGGCTGCTGGCGATGATGCTGAGTCTTTAGACTAAAGCGAGCGTTCGTAGTAGTCTTGACTGATTCAAGATGGTATTGACGGTGGAGTCGCCTGATTGGACGCTGGTGGGGTTCCTGTCCGCAATTTCCGGCGTGGCGCTCGTGGGCCTTCAAAGAGTGCTGTCTCGCGTTATTAATACGTGGCTCCGTCTGCAATCGCGCAGTTTGCGATATGATCGGTGGTTTGACGAGTGTGTGGGGTTTGCTAAGAAGATGCATGGGTTTACGTGGACGCGAAATCACGTAGTCACGGGACCGCGCTAAGCCCGATCTCGGGAAAGAGCGCTAGGTACTCCGCAATTCGACATGGAAGCATCGAACCACCCTCACCCAAAGCACTGCGCCCGCAACCTCGAACGCTATACACGTCAAGCACGCATACCAACACCCACATTGCACAAGGTTGGGTCGAGCACGCCCTAGACCGCAGCCATGCCTGGCCCCTTCACCTCCAAATCCTTCAGCGCCACACTGCCCAACTCGCTCGCCGCAAAGTACCGAAAGTCGCTCCAAAAGCACCCCTTCCTACTCTTCGGCCTCCCGTTCCTGTCTACGATACTTCTCGGGTCGTTCATGTTGACTCCCGCCACGGCGTTGCGATACGAACGATACGATCGCAAGAACCAGCAAATCACACATGAGCAGGCTATGGGCCTGAGAGGAGAGCGGAGGAAGGTGAACATGAAGGACGAATACTACGTGCGTATACTGGACAGAATTTTGATTGCAGGGGCTTGGGCTGACAGTTGCGCAGAGATTACAGGCGAAAGACATCGACGACTGGGAGCAGAGGCGTGTCAAGCGGCTACCGGGCGAGCCAGATGGCACCCTTGTGTAATTGTGCTATGTACATATACAACAGCATCGGAAACGGCGGCATGGAAGGCGATTAGCGAAACAAACTCGATACCTCTGTACGATAAAGAAACATACCATCCTCTTCGACGAACGCATACCACGCACGAAAGCAAATCCCAAGACCAGGTTGCTGGAAACCACGAAAGCTGCGCTGCTGTCATGAATATGCATACCGAGAAGCGTCTGTATTCAACAACGCAGTTATTTCAATGCTGCGTCCTCTCCCTGGCCCATGGTAATTTGGCGCATGGAAGCTGTGACTGAGAGAAGGCTGTTCTCATAGCCCAGTAAAGGTTGAGCCGATACGTTGTAGGCCTGAGCCAACTGCACTTCCTGCTCGTGGCTTGTCTGTGACCCGTCCAGTCTCACCCACAGTCCGTTGTGGTATTTATATATTCGGTCCTTGCTATCGTAGCGGTAGTAGAGTTCTCGGCCGGCGTCCCATACCCAGGGCGTATCGCTCTTTGCTGGAACCACCTGATCAAGGGCCGGATTCATTCGGCTGAGATCGTATGCCATGTCGTCAAGGAACTTTGTGATTAGGGATCGTGTTTCTCCCCAGCCGCCTCCGTGACTACGTTTAGCCGGGACTAACTTCTCTATGAGATTGTCAGTTCGGTAGATGTATCCAAGCGCTTCGCCGGCGATAACAGTTCCTGCGCCGATAATCAGGTACGAGTTGTTGGCCCTCAACTTTGTCTCGACATCAGCTCTACGCCTCTCGTGCTCATCACCTAACAACGTTAGACCGAAGGAATAAAGGTATACTGTCGGGTTATAGCCTTACCGCCTGCTTCTGTCTTCCAGGTACTAGCCCATATGAATCCTGAAGCTATGAAAGTCGTCCGAAGGTGGCGGACGGCGTAGGTAATTCCAGTACCAATGTTGTATTTTTGGGTTGCGTCCATGATTCGTCAGGGGAAACTATCAGTCAGTCTCGTCGGGTAAATTGTGTAGCCAGGCTGGAACGCAAGTATTTATCGTGGCTCATGAAGGCAGTATATGACTAGCATAGCGTTGCAGAGCGATGGCGGAGAGCTGGAATAATCCTGCGGGGACTCAAGTCCTTCGCATTCTGTGTTGTCAAGTCTCAGCCTGGTATTCCACGCCCTTGGCCGCTTGATATGGGCAGCAACATGCATCCAGAGTTTACTCGGAGAGGGATTGACATCACGTTCGACGCAGCCTATTGGCAAAGTGATTGCGAGTGCCCATTCATGAGGGCGGTCTATGTCATCCAGACATCCCTCGCGTCACAGCCCGACACATACACACTGCGTCGTTTGACCGAGTCGCACTATCTTTCTATAGGATGAAAGTGCATGAGGCATGTTACGAATACGCAGTAGTGCTATGATGAGGGCTTGACGCCCTTCAGGCGTGGGCGCAGCAAGGCTGAGAAGTGGGAAAAAGTAAGGTGACTTTAAGTTCGGAGAGTACTTCAAGCATGTATGGAGGATGGCACTTGCGTACACTACTCTTAATAAATGAAAGAATAGCTAAAACATCATGAGCAAAGTCAACAGCTGATGGTGGTCTGCACGACCAGAGGCGAAATCTGACCTGGCTGCGTCAAGTCCAGCCCTGGAGTGGCCATAATAACCCTAGGGAAGGCTGTAGTCGTCACATTACAAGGAGAGGTGGGCGAAGCCTGCAAGCACTGGAAACAGCCGATGCACCCTTGGCTGATGATGCAGTCACGCTTGCAGACACATGTCCAGGTGGGTGCGTATTCGCCGGTTACATAAGTGGCTGCATGACCGTCCAACCGCAGAAAGCCACATTTCTGACCAGCTGAGTGATTATCTTTCAGCCTGGCATCACAAAGACGCAACGAGATATTGAGTCATTCAGCTGCTTTTCATTCCGCCGACCTTTTGAACGAAGATCATCAGTGTATACTGCTGCTGTTTACCCTTGTCCTCGGTCTCTCAGCGACACGCGTCCAACTTATTGCATTATCGACCTTCCTGCTGTCGTCGCACCACTTACCAGTCAGCGAAATGTCCACCGTCAGTGTTCGTCCTCTAGCTGTAAGTAACTTCGCTATCCAGGTTTAATTATGGTAACTCACTTCGGACAGCGACACCCTGAGTTCAAGAAAGGCGATGAAGTCAAGATCAAATCGATGGAAACGCTCGAGAACGGTAAGACTCGGACTGTCTGGAAAACCATGGAGGTCTCTGAGGCGGTAATGGACGAGCAGTCCGCACATTGGAAATACAGGCTTGCTACGAATTCTGGAGATGCCGGCACAAAGAGCGAATGGATAAAAGAGAGGGATATGAAGCCTGCATGATCGCATACGCATATGCAGGCGTTCAGCCACTAGTTCTCCTCTCACATACAGTGTTCTCAGCCTACTGAAGGCTTGCAGTAGTATGTCAGCAATTGATGTTTTCTTGTTGGGTGCCCCGCTCTCTATTCTAGTCAGAGTTTCTTCCCATCCTCTCATAGCTCGAAAGATTAACGGTCGTCCACCAAGCCTGATGCGAGGCACGATCAATTCTTTATGCAGAATCCAACTGCTCAGCCTCAAGACGAGGACCAGTCGAAACGCGCCGTTGATGTGGAAGCCGGTGAAAGCGAGGATGCGATTAGAGGTTGAGTCCTCCAGAAGTCTTGCTAAACGAATACAGCTGACCATTGCTGGCAGCGTCGAGAAGTAGCTGGTGGCTACGGTCCTGGAAGGACACGATAAACGAGCGTGCAAACAAGAAGCGAGAGCAGAGGAGTCGTAAAAAGGAAGAAAATGAGATGATAAAGGCAATAGTGGCGATTCTCAAGAAGCCGTATTCCGTAGAAGGTACTTTCATTAGCGAGGCGGATGAAACTGCCTTTGCCGTCTAACCATTCTCAGTGAGCGACTTCCCATCAGGTTACCCGCTACAAGCAGCCTTGCAGTCAAGCACACATGATTTTGCCATCTATCGCAATTTCAGTTATCTGCATTCCCGCGTCGTACTTGAGCTTCAAGATCAACTTCGCGAACTCGAGGGACGACTCCACATGCTGGACAAATTACATTCCGAGTCTGAAGATCCAGAGCAGAGAGAGCGTGTCACTTCCCGTGTCAAAGATATGGAGGCTGCTCAGATGAGTCGTCCGGTTTCCAACGTAGTAGATGATACAGCGACCGACGTATCAGTACACAGAGCAGAGAGATCTCAAGAATCTGACTTGGTCGAACAACTGGATCAAAAGCCTATGCTCAGCGAAAGAGCCGCACTCCTCGAGAAGATCCAACAGAAGCTCGTGAGGTATGATGAGGTCCTGGTGCATGCTCGCAGGCTTGCCGAATTCCAAAGGCCAACCGACGACGAGTGGCTGAACCTTCGAAAATGGTACTTCAACCGCCAGACTCTGAGTTCGGACGATGAAGACGGATTCATCAGGATGAAACATGACCTTATCACCTTGAAACCGAGGACTGAGTCTGGCAAGATCGATGACTGGATCAGACGTCTCCTTGTTATTCTGGGTAAGGGGAAAATCACTGTGAGTATCTCGTGAAGCCTATGACGAATGATTCACGCGACTGACACTGTGAAAAGAATATTTTCTACAAGCCTGATGATGAGGGCTTCCAAGATGGATACATAGCCTACTTCAATATCGCGCGGATCGAGCGTGTGGCTGTCGTGTTAGTCGCGATTGTCATCATCCTCTTATTAGCCGTACCCGTGTTTGTTATGTACCGTATAACATGGACGGGTACTCGTGCTAGCACGTTCCTCAACATAGGGCTCTTGATAGGCTTCGGACTCCTTTTCTCTGCAGCAATGGGTCTTCTGACAACGGCCAAACGAGCAGAGCTTTTCGCGGCGACAGCAGCATACTGCGCCGTCCTGGTTGTGTTCATTGGGAACTTCAGTGGCAACGCGGGATCAAACCGTCCATAAGGAGCAGGACAGTCAAACGTTTGTACACGCATAGTGATGGCATGAACGTGACGCAGTATTATTCGTGGTTGTATCTCGATAACGCTCGTGTAATCTGTGTTGAGCTTGTCATTAGATGAAAAATGAGAGAAGATGAAGGAAGTACGCTCATGACCGCTGTAAATGCAATACACAACAACTCGCTAGAACGCTTCGCTACAAAAGACAGACAGGAAACAACAAATTAAGCCTCCAAAATGCTACAAAGAAACGACAGTATGTGAGGCCGTGAGACGAGAGTCGTAGGAGAAGGAAAAGAAAAACGCAAGCGGGTATCCTCTAACGAATCTAGTCGTGATGATGTCCCGCTGAGAAGGTGTGTGACGATCGAAAGTACGAACAAGCGTACACATATGACGAAGATCCAAGTTGGGGCAGATGTTAACAACACCTGCCACTCTTGCTCTTCTGCGCGCGGTTGATGTCTTCTTCCCAATCTTGCTGATGTCCAGCGACGTTGGGTGTAGTGGGGAAGCCCAGCCAGCTTCGCCTCTTGTCGCCAGTGCCTAAGCGGAAGCTTCCATTACCCGTTCCAGGGTAATCGAAGTATCCAGCGACATTGCCGTTGTTATCCATGGCAGGGGTGACACCAGCCATGGCGTACTGCCGTTGTTCCTCCTCAAGCTTCTTCTGCTGCTGTTCGACTAACTTGCGGGTGATGACGCGAAAGACTTCGTCTACACCCTCGCCGTCTTTGGCGCTGATCTCGTGGCAACAGTCCCAGCCCAAGTCTTGTCCCCAGAAGCCGCTCGATCGGTTGCTCTGTGGCGACGCCATACCGCTGTGGAAGGCTGCCGGCACAGAGCCCCAACCGCTTGCTGCAGCACTGTGTGGTTGTCCGTTCTGTGTGGGGTGGAGGTTCTCGGCGACGTATTCGATGCAGCGCTCAAAGGGCACTTTTCGCTTGGTAGGGTCTTCGGCTACGACGTCTGACTTCGTTCCTACCACATGGAGGATCACGTCCTCTCCAAGGTTTGTCTTGAGTTCCTTGAACCAGCGGCCCATCTCCTCGAACGAATATGGATCGGTGATGTCGTAACATAGTACTGCAGCATTTGCGCCTAGAGAAAATGTTAGTTCTGCGCTGAACGTTTGCTCATAGTAGACGATCCGAGCTCGGCTGCCGAATGTGGGGTATATAGATAGCGAAAAGAGACCCGGTGTGTATTGCGACAGAATATGAGAGTTGATTCGGCGAAAGGAACAATACTGACGTACCCCTATAATACAGCTTGGATATGGACCGGAAGCGCTCCTGGCCTGCGGTATCCCATATCTGTAACCGAACCACGGTGGAGGTGTCGATATCCACAACCCTCTTTGTCAAGAAGGAAGCACCCACGGTGGACTGTGTCGTGGGAGGCGTAAAAGCGTTTTTGACATATCGGTGGACGAGAGAAGTTTTTCCAACTCCTTGGCTACCGAGGACCACGATCTTTGCTTCCAGGCTATTGGACATATCGCCGTATTACGCCAAATCTATTTGTATACGTCGGTGTTGGCGGTGCAGGGATGGGGCGGCAGGCGGTGTTGTGGGGTCGGCTCAGATATGCGCGGTCGCGGTGCCTCGGAGCAAGAAAGAAAGGAAATGCGTGGGAGGCGGCGGGAGAACAAGTTGCATGGCGAGCAGTGAGAAAGAGTCGCCGGCAGATGTGAGAAGAGGCAGAGGATTGACGTAGAGGGTATCTGAGAATATTAGGCAGGAGGTGAGTGCCCGAATGACAGCCCAGCTGCGTTTGGCGCTTGCACCGATTCTCTTGGCTAGGGGAGCCATGTGACAGGCGCCTTAAGCCAATGTGAATCAGATCTGAGAAGGGTGCGTCCCAGATGGGAATATGAATGCCCATCGTGATCGCAGCCCTGGGGACTGATAATCATCCAGGGGATGACGCGCCATGTTGATGCTGTGTGTCGGGCAGTCGACAATGCACGTCATGCCCAGCCAGCTGTCGTCTTCCCCGCGTTTCGGAGCAGCACGGAGTCTTCCACGCGACCGACGAGAACGTTAATACCTACCCCAACTAAGCTTCCTCAACGAACGACAGTCCCTGGCCGACACATATATCCTCAAGAAAACCGCCTGCGAAGGACCGAGGCGGGATGCCTAATGCGACAAGCCCGGAATCATTCGATTTCGCCTCGAGCTCATGGGCTAGGGTGCTAACTCAGATGCGTCTCCGCGACCAGCATCCGAAGGCCGCGGGGATGAATGTACCGAGCTATTACCCCAAACATGCTGCCGTCACCAACCTGGCCCTTCCGCTCGTCCAAGCCCTCTAGTGTCTGGAAATAACCTAGATCGGCTCCATATATTTTCTGGCCTATCTTCGCGACTTGATTACCTACCCTTCAACATTTCGCGTTCGACACACCGCCGCCACGATGAACCACGACAGCAACAACACCCAGAAGGTGAAGCTCACCGGCGAGCAGGTCGCCCAACACAACAACGCCGAATCATGCTGGGTCATCATCCACGGCCGCGCCTACGATGTCACCGAGTTTCTGCCTGAGCATCCCGGAGGCCAGAAGATTGTCTTGAAGTATGCTGGCAAGGACGGCACCGAGGCGTTCGAGCCAATCCATCCGCCCGACACGCTCGACAAGTACCTCGACAAGTCCAAGCACTTGGGCGAGGTAGACATGAACACCGTCAAGGAAGAAGCGAAGGAGGTCGATCCAGACGAGGAAGCGAGGCAAGAGCGCATTGCGCGCATGCCCATCTTGGAGCAATGCTACAACCTGATGGACTTTGAGGCCGTCGCGCGCAAGGTCATGAAGAAGACGGCATGGGCATACTACTCCAGTGGTGCAGACGATGAGATTGTAGGTCTATTCTGACAACCACTGCGATCGCCTGAACTGACTTTTGATAGACACTACGAGAAAACCACAGCGCATTCCACAAGATTTGGTTCCGACCACGCGTACTCATCGACGTCGAGAAGGTCGACATGTCCACCACAATGCTCGGCACCAAAGTCGACATCCCCTTCTATGTCACCGCGACAGCGCTGGGCAAGCTCGGTAATCCAGAGGGAGAGGTCGTTCTCACACGCGGCGCACACAAGCACAACGTTGTCCAGATGATACCGACACTGGCGTCATGCTCGTTTGACGAGATCATGGACGAGGCAAAAGACGGCCAAGTCCAATGGCTGCAGCTATACGTAAACAAGGACAGGGAGGTCACAAAGCGCATTGTGCAGCACGCCGAGAAGCGCGGCTGCAAGGGTCTCTTCATCACCGTCGACGCGCCGCAGCTCGGTCGTCGCGAGAAAGACATGCGGAGCAAGTTCGACGATGTCGGCAGCAACGTCCAGAGCACCGGCGGCGACAATGTGGATCGTAGTCAAGGCGCCGCACGAGCCATCTCGTCCTTCATTGACCCGAGCCTCAGCTGGAAAGATATCCCGTGGTTCAGAAGCATTACCAAGATGCCCATTATTCTCAAGGGTGTGCAATGTGTTGAGGATGTTATCCGCGCCGTCGAGGTTGGTTGCGATGGTGTTGTTCTGTCCAACCACGGTGGTCGTCAACTTGATTTCGCTCGCTCCGGTGTTGAGGTTCTCGCAGAAGTCATGCCAGTTCTTCGCGCACGCGGCTGGCAAGATCGCATCGAAGTGTACATCGATGGTGGTATCCGACGTGCAACGGACATCATCAAGGCTGTTGCACTGGGCGCCAAGGGTGTAGGCATTGGTAGGCCTTTCCTCTACGCTATGTCGGCATACGGTCTGCCGGGCGTCGACCGCGCTATGCAGCTGCTGAAGGATGAGATGGAGATGAACATGCGCCTCATTGGTGCTTCAAGCATTGCGGACCTGAACCCTTCGATGCTTGACACAAGAGGACTCAGCATGCACACTGCTACCGTACCTCACGACACTCTGGGTATGAATGTCTATGACCCACTCATTGGCCCTCAAGAGAGTGTTGTCAAGGAGAAGTCTAAGTTATAGAGAAGCTTGTGATTGTCCTGTATATATATCTAGGCGCAACGCATTTCTTCAAATATGGTCAATCAGTATTCTGTACAAGACGCCATCTTTGAACTGAGCGAACATTTACTTGAACTCAGTGCTTATGGCAACATATGCCATGATTCACACATAAAGGCCATGCGATATACCCATGTGGCACCCTTTGTCCGCATCGTGACTACGCGTAGACGCGTTCGGCGAGTGGGGAAGGAGCGCCCGGTGGACCTTCCGATCGTCAAGCGTCCTTGAACCACGGGTCGCTCTTTCCACTTCAATCGCAGCACGCCTCAATCATTCACATTATCGCACCTTATTATATCCCATATCCCCGCCTTTGAATCGCCCTCGCATCATCGCTTTTACTTTTTGATTATACCTTAATATTATTCCATGGGTGCTCCTGACGTTGCAGCGCAGCCCGGCGCTGGCTGGGACGAGGCGCAATGCACAGCAGCACTCGCACAACTGGAACAGCTTCAGGCGCAGGTGAGAATAGCATGCCGCCTTCTCTGAATAATTCGTACTCATATGCGACAGATCAGCGACATGCGCCTAGCCATCCCCCGCATCATCGAGCCCTTCCACCGCC